AAAAAAAAAAAAAAAAAAAAAAAAGTTAGTTCCTCCAACCACTTGATGGGACGCTGGACCGGGTTCCAGCATGAAATCTGTTCTTTTTCTGAGCCATATTAACCAAAAACCTCAATCTGGTTGATGCTATTATCATCCTCAGATTGAGCTATATTCTTCTCCCAATTTCACCCTTCACTATCTACCCACCACAACTCCCAATCCTATACAAGAGACCCCTGCAAGCATAGCTGCATGTTGCCCCCCGCCGTAATCGGCAGTGGTCAGGGACTCAGGGAGTAGATTGCAGGCTTTGTTACTGAGATGTTGCATCACACACAAAAAAAAAGGAGTTATGTTCGGACGTATCCGAAGAGAATCGCTACGGAAGCAGCGACGGAATTTCCAGCCCCCCGTTTCTCTCTCTTAGCCAGAACAGAACCAGGCCCAAMYGTAATGGAATGGCAGTCCTTTGCCGTGTACGGAATGGGACTTGGACTCCGTCCCATTCCCCAAAATAAAAGAAAAGGGCGTTTGTTTTGGATTTGGAATGGAAGGAACCAATCAGAAACGGCTAGGGTTGTTGCTTACTGTGCATCCTGCATTGCAATGCAAACAAAAACGGAGACACATCGCTCAGGCTCTGCATCTGGCAGGCCCAACTCACCTGGCCTGGTCTTGCCTTGCCGCTACAACAGGTGGGCGATACCGACCAGGGGTCAGCCCGTAGCATCAGGACCGAGCTTCTTCGATGGGCCAGTCACTGTGCCTCCCCTGCGGTCCCCTCCCATTATAAACATCAGCAGTCTCTTCTCTGCTCAATGCCACTCGGGGGGACCGATGGCATATCTCTAGGTGGTGGGCGCCAAGCTTGCCGAGGAAGGTACATGAGGCCAAAGGGGATTGAACCCAAGACCTCCTGAATGCCACTTGCGTGCCTTAGCCAGGGCAGTTTCATAGGAGAAGGAACAAAGAGGGAAAAAGAAAAACAAAAAAAAAAAACCCTCGGAAGTAGTCTCTATAACCACCAGATACGTTCTATGAGGTATTCGTGTGACTGTGCTCTGAGGGAGGGCGTTTATGGACGAACAACCCAAAAAAAACAACAACCCTCTTCACCGAGTGAACCAAATGGGGGCCCCAATTTCAGCTCAGTCTTCGTCTCATATGGGCATGCGGGAAGTATCGAGTCAGCAGCACCACTGTCTGGAAATGACTGCTGATGTTCTCAAGCCACATGCAATCAGACTCGGATCATTCCCACTTGTCTTGCATGCAAACAGCGATACAGCAAACTGGCGACATGCGCCCACACAGTACTCAAAGATATCGTAACCGGATAAGAGTTCTCTTCGACTGGCTATGGCGGCTCTGCGCCCACACAACTCACTGTTCGCACGCTGGATCACCCTGGATGTCCCACACACAACACTCAGTGTTCATACGCAGCGCACACACACACTGTACTACAGCTATGGCAGCGCTAGCTGGCACTATCCTATCGCTATACTACACTTCACTACCCACTTCGACTTCGGGCGCACTGCAGACCTCCTCGCACAAGCTGCTGAGGCAGCGCTTCCGCATGGCATCGGCAGGAATGAATGAATGGCTGAACGCAGCCTCTTGATTTATACTTCTGCGCTGCATTGGTGTGCCCCGTATCCCTTGGCCCACGAGGTGCACAGTCCCAGACGGTACTTGCTTGACTGGACCGGACTGGACTAACTGGGACTGCTGACCGGACTAGGTGGA